GCGGGCGCCGGCGGCGCGAACGTCACGCTCGCCGGCGTCGCCGCGGCCGCGGCCGTCGCGGCGCCGCGGAACGCGTCCGCGGCCGACTTCGCGCCCGCGTGCGGCTACGGCATGGCCGGCGCCCGCGCCCCGTCGACCCGACGCGCTCCGGGGCACAGGCGGCGACTTCGGCGGGCGCCGGCGGGCCGGCGGGCGGCCGGCGGCCGGCCGGGGCGGGCGCCGCGGGCCGCCGGCCCCGCCCGGACCGCCGTCGCCCGCGCAGGCCGTCGTCGCGCGGCCGGGCCGCCCCGGCATCAACTTCGTCGCCGGCAGCGCCTGCGCCTGGACCTGCCCGCGCGGCGCCGGCGCCGCGCGCGCGGCCGCGGCGCGCGGAGCTCCGCCCGCCGCAGGCCGCCCGTCTACCCGAAGCGGCTCCGGCCCGCGGGCGGCGCGGTCTCCGCCCACGCGGCGGCCGTGACCGTCGTGCTGCTCGGGTTTCTCGTCATGAACCTGTGGTGGTACATGAACTACCTCCTCATCCCCGAGCGGCGGGAGGAGGTCTGGCCCTGGGCTTTCTGGTACCTCCTCAACCTGCCCTTCCTCTTCGGCTTCGGCGCCAAGCTCTGGTACCCGCTCTACGTGTCCACGGCGGGCCTGACCATGAACGAGGCGCTCTGCTTCGACGACACGGCGCCGCTCGTCGCGGCCGACGGCGGGCCGTGCGCGGCCTGGCCCGCGGCCGTCGCCGGAGCAGGGTGCTTCGACGTCGCTTCGAGCGCCGCGCGCGCGCGCTCCCGAACGAGCGTCCGCGCGTCGGGGGCGCTCCGAGCGACGATCGGTCGTCCCGCGATCGGCCGAAACGAGCGGAGGCCGGCCGAGATCGGCGCCCGTCCGCGCGCAGGTCCACGGTCATGTACGCGTGCCGCCAGTGCTGGTACGCGTGCCCCGCCGGCGCCCCGGGCGCCGCCGCCGCCGGACCGCGCGGCCGCGCCGCAGGTTCGGGACGTTGCTCCTTACCGTCGACTTCCGCATGCGCTTCATCCACGCGCGCCCGTCCGAGGAAATCGCCCGCGTCCTCCTGTACTACGGCTACCCGCCCTGCGTGCTCCTCGTGACGGTGGTCTTCGTCTGGCCCTTCCTCGCGAACGGCTCCGCGGGCTACGCGAACTCGCTCTGGAACTACGGCG